ACCCCTGTGGAAGTCCTGGAACCTGACCGGGTCCAGGCTGCAGGGAGTCCAGCAGACGGCGGTCCGGAGCAGACGGGACCAGGTCCAGGTGACTTCCTGTTGACAGCAGAACAGAGTCCCCGAACAGGAATCCGCAGGACTCCAGACCTCAGCGACCCCCCAACACTCAACATGGATCTCTCCTCTTCAGGATCAGAGACCAGTTCGGAATCTTGTTGTTATTGATTCTCTACGATATTAAACCAATAACTGCTGTGCTAATCAATAAACTTTTATTCTCTATTCTTTCACCTTCATCCCTCCATCCAGCGGCAGCGCGGCGTCCCACACTTGTGACCTCACACTGTTTACCGCCGCGCGTCTGATAAATGTGACGTCATTGCGCCGTTAAGAAAATAAAACTTCCTGTAAATAAAAACAATATAAATGAATTAAAAGCAAACTAACAAACAAATAATAAATGAGAGCAGCGACCAGACAACAGAGAGGTAACTTTACCTTTGTTACTTTATTACTGATGAATAAATGTGTCAGAAGACTTTTAAACTTGTAAATGGAGCTAATTTGAAATACTTGTTTAATCGATTAAAATGCATCTTATTTTTAAACTCATCATCTGTTAAATGTTTAACATCAGAAGAATAACTGCTGCAGCAGACAGAAAGTCCAATAAAATGAACATTATATTATATATTATATTATTTACTGCTGAAACAAAGTAGTACAGAGAACTTGAGTTAATGTATTTAAACGTCCACTGCGCGACTCTTTTATTGTGAAGTCTACCGGAAGTGCAGTAGCGGATAATCGTGTCCGCGGACAGATCGGTGTCCCAGCAGTCATGGCGGAGTACAGCCAGGCCGGCCTCCTGGCTGCTGTGCTCCTGTTCACGGCCCTCACGGTCCGGGACGTTTATGTCGGGAGATCGAGCCCGCAGCGCGGACAGCAGCAGGCCGACAGCCGCGGCCTTTCCCCGGACACTCTGCCGGACACAGAGCCCGGGAAACCCGCCAAACCCGCCCTGTACAGCGGGCCCGTGCTCCGGTTCCAGTACTGGTGAGTGTGTTAGCACGACGGCTAACAGCTAGCGTCATATAATACTGTCTCTGAAGCTCAATAATAGTAAATATAATCAAACATTATATTAATAATGTTTTTAATTGATTCATTAAATTCATTAAATTCAGTCTTTAATTTAAAACACTTTATTTTGGTAAATCTTATACAGAATCTGATTTCCTGTTCAGTTCATAATCCGGATCAATATGTGACAATAAATGTAACTGCTCTTGTATCAGGTACATTAAAGATGTCTTATTAATCTTTATTACAGACACTGATTGTATAGAATATATATTCAAATATCGATTTTATATAAATCATCAAATAAAATCTTTAGATTCCTCCAGATGTTTGTTTGTTTGTTTCAGACCAATTATTGATTTGTACTGTGTTTCAGGGTGACATAATAATGATCATTCACACTGATCATTAATCAATATCAGAATCACAATACAATGTTTTTTCTCTAATTGATTCAGTTCTATGTTCATAATGTAGTCGCTCAGGTGGTCCAGGTTGGGTTCCGGACTGGGTGACCTGGTACTCCTGACCTGTGTCTTGTGTCTTTCAGTATCTCCTGAGGTTACAGTAAAGTGTTCCAGGAGTACTCTCGAGCCATCAGCCAGCTGTACCCGGACATCCGCATCGAGGGAGAAAACTACCCCCCCACCCCCTTCAACAGGTGAGCTCTGACAGGTAAAACTAGGCATGTGTGCGATTAGTCGACTAGTTAAACGGCTGATTTCAGTCTCTACGTGACCTCTGCTGGCTCCGTTTTACTGTCATGATGGCGACTAAAACGCGCAACTAAAGGCTTTGAACTCCGGGGAAGAAGTGAAGGCGTTTCCAGCAGCAGCAGAACCATTTCCAGCAGTAGTAGAACCGTTTCCAGCAGCAGCAGAACCGTTTCCAGCAGTAGCAGAACCATTTCCAGCAGTAGTAGAACCGTTTCCAGCAGTAGCAGAACCATTTCCAGCAGTAGTAGAACCGTTTCCAGCAGCAGCAGAACCGTTTCCAGCAGTAGTAGAACCGTTTCTAGCAGCAGCAGAACCGTTTCCAGCAGTAGTAGAAGCGTTTCCAGCAGCAGCAGAACCGCTTTCCAGCAGTAGTAGAACCGTTTCCAGCAGTAGTAGAACCGTTTCCAGCAGTAGCAGAACCGTTTTCAGCAGTAGTAGAACCGTTTTCAGCTGTAGCAGAACCGTTTCCAGTAGCAGCAGAACCGTTTCCAGTAGCAGAACCGCTTTCCATCAGCAGCAGAACCGTTCTCAGCAGTAGTAGAACCGTTTTCAGCTGTAGCAGAACCGCTTTCCAGTAGCAGCAGAACCGTTTCCAGCAGCAGCAGAACCGCTTTCCAGCAGCAGCAGAACCGCTTCCAGCAGCAGCAGAACCGTTTCCAGCAGTAGTAGAACCGCTTTCCAGCAGCAGCAGAACCGCTTTCCAGCAGTAGCAGAACCATTTCCAGCAGTAGTAGAACCGTTTCCAGCAGTAGCAGAACCATTTCCAGCAGTAGTAGAACCGCTTCCAGCAGCAGCAGAACCATTTCCAGCAGTAGTAGAACCGCTTTCTAGCAGCAGCAGAACCGTTTCCAGCAGTAGTAGAAGCGCTTTCCAGCAGCAGCAGAACCGCTTCCAGCAGTAGTAGAACCGTTTCCAGCAGTAGTAGAACCGCTTTCCAGCAGTAGCAGAACCGTTTTCAGCAGTAGTAGAACCGTTTTCAGCTGTAGCAGAACCGTTTCCAGTAGCAGCAGAACCGCTTTCCAGTAGCAGAACCGCTTTCCATCAGCAGCAGAACCGTTCTCAGCAGTAGTAGAACCGCTTTTCAGCTGTAGCAGAACCGCTTTCCAGTAGCAGCAGAACCGCTTTCCAGCAGCAGCAGAACCGTTTCCAGCAGCAGCAGAACCGTTTCCAGCAGCAGCAGAACCGCTTTCCAGCAGCAGCAGAACCGCTTTCCAGCAGCAGCAGAACCGCTTTCCAGCAGTAGAACCGCTTTCCATCAGCAGCAGAACCGCTTTTCAGCAGTAGTAGAACCGTTTTCAGCTGTAGCAGAAACGCTTCCAGTAGCAGAACCGCTTTCCAGCAGCAGCAGAACCGCTTTCCAGCAGCAGCAGAACCGTTTTCAGCAGTAGTAGAACCGTTTTCAGCTGTAGCAGAACCGTTTTCAGCTGTAGCAGAACCGTTTCCAGCAGCAGCAGAACCGTTTCCAGCAGCAGCAGAACCGTTTTCAGCAGCAGCAGAACCGCTTTCCAGCAGCAGCAGAACCGTTTCCAGCAGTAGAACCGTTTCCAGCTGTAGCAGAACCGTTTCCAGCAGCAGCAGAACTGGTTTGAGCAGTAGAACCAGTCTCTCTCTGTGTCTTTAGGTGTTTCGGGAACCTGATCTCCTACCTGAAGCTCCTTGCCATCATGCTCATTGTCAGTGGTCAGAACCCCTTCCTCCTCCTCGGCCTCGACACTCCCAGAGCCTGGACCTGGAGTCAGGACAACAAGGTATCCGTTACTACAGAAACGCATGCATCAGCCGGTTACCACAGCAACCGCTTTAACCCCTCGCTGTCTGTGTTTGTCAGATCTTCTCCTGTCTGATGGCCTTCTTCCTCTGCAACATGATGGAGACTCACTTCCTGTCTACAGGAGCCTTCGAGATCACTCTCAACGGTGAGTTCTCATTGGTCCACAGCGTGATGTTGCTGTGAGCGGTGAGTTCTAATTGGATGAGGACAGGACAAGGCAAATAGAGAAAGAAGGAGGGAGTGGACAAAAGTAAGGGGGGGATAACGTTGTCCTTTGTCCTCTCTCTACTTCCTGGTGTAACAGTGTCTTTTGTCCTCCCTGTCTCAGACGTCCCGCTGTGGTCGAAGCTTCAGTCGGGTTACGTTCCGAACATTCAGGAGATCTTCCAGATCCTCGACACCCACCTGAAGATGAACCAGGTGGAGCCAATGAGCTTCTCATCTACATAGAGCTACACAGGTAAACACACACACACAGGTAAACACCCTGTTATCTGACACCTGTCTCTCTCTCACCTGTCTTTCTCTATCTCTGTCTGTCCTCAGCCGTGCTGCGTTCAGGAGTCCCGGCTCAGTGGGACTTTCAGCCGTTGGCGTTCATGAAGGTTCGGCCTTAAAGCAGACTCTGCGAGGCCAAGCCGGATGTCCCCTGCCATGGAAGGAGCGCTCCCTCTGCGTCGGACCCCAGCTCAGCACTACAGTACCCATAATGCACCAGTCAGCAGCGGTGCCCCCAGACTCTACTGGACTCTACTGGTTTCTGTTGGTTTTATTTATTTAGTTTGAGGTTTAAAATACGGTACCATTGTTAGCTTCATGCTAATTCGCCTCCGTCTGTACAGGAAGTTAGCTTCATGCTAATTAGCCTCCGTCTGTACAGGAAGTTAGCTTAATGCTAATTAGCCTCTGTCTGTACAGGAAGTTAGCTTAATGCTAATTAGTCTCTGTCTGTACAGGAAGTTAGCTTCACGCTAATTAGCCTCTGTCTGTACAGGAAGTTAGCTTCACGCTAATTAGCCTCCGTCTGTATAGGAAGTTAGCTTCACGCTAATTAGCCTCTGTCTGTACAGGAAGTTACCTTAATGCTAATTAGCCTGTGTCTGTACAGGAAGTTACCTTAATGCTAATTAGCCTCCGTCTGTACAGGAAATTAGCTTCATGCTAATTAGCCTCTGTCTGTACAGGAAGTTAGCTTCATGCTAATTAGCCTCTGTCTGTACAGGAAGTTAGCTTCATGCTAATTAGCCTCTGTCTGTACAGGAAGTTAGCTTCATGCTAATTAGCCTCTGTCTGTACAAGTGATGAATAATTAAAATCTGGTTAAGTTTGAATGAAAGTCTGAAAGAAATAAAAATAAAACTCATCAACATGAAAACAATGCCATGCTTTTATTGTGTAAACAGGAAATGATCTGCTGGTCTCTGTTGTCTTCACGTTAAAAAATAACGTGAAGACAGGTTGAAACAGGTGAGGACTGGTGGAGACAGGTGAGGACTGGTGGAGACAGGTGAGGACAGGTGGAGACAGGTGAGGACTGGTGGAGACAATAGAGGACTGGTGGAGACAGGTAGAGACTGGTGGAGACAATAGAGGACTGGTGGAGACAGGTGAGGACTGGTGGAGACAGGTTGAGACAGGTGGAGACTGGTGGAGACAATAGAGGACTGGTGGAGACAGGTAGAGACAGGTGGAGACTGGTGGAGACAATAGAGGACTGGTGGAGACAGGTGAGGACTGGTGGAGACAGGTGAGGACAGGTGGAGACAATAGAGGACTGGTGGAGACAGGTGGAGACTGGTGGAGACAATAGAGGACTGGTGGAGACAGGTGAGGACTGGTGGAGACAGGTAGAGACAGGTGGAGACTGGTGGAGACAATAGAGGACTGGTGGAGACAGGTGAGGACTGGTGGAGACAGGTGAGGACAGGTGGAGACAATAGAGGACTGGTGGAGACAGGTGAGGACTGGTGGAGACAGGTGAGGACTGGTGGAGACAGGTGAGGACTGGTGGAGACAGGTGAGGACAGGTGGAGACAGGTGAGGACTGGTGGAGACAATAGAGGACTGGTGGAGACAGGTAGAGACTGGTGGAGACAATAGAGGACTGGTGGAGACAGGTGAGGACTGGTGGAGACAGGTAGAGACAGGTGGAGACTGGTGGAGACAATAGAGGACTGGTGGAGACAGGTAGAGACAGGTGGAGACTGGTGGAGACAATAGAGGACTGGTGGAGACAGGTGAGGACTGGTGGAGACAGGTGAGGACAGGTGGAGACAATAGAGGACTGGTGGAGACAGGTGGAGACTGGTGGAGACAATAGAGGACTGGTGGAGACAGGTGAGGACTGGTGGAGACAGGTAGAGACAGGTGGAGACTGGTGGAGACAATAGAGGACTGGTGGAGACAGGTGAGGACTGGTGGAGACAGGTGAGGACAGGTGGAGACAATAGAGGACTGGTGGAAACTGGTGAGGACTGGTAGAGACAGGTGAGGACTGGTGGAGACAGGTGAGGACAGGTGGAGACTGGTGGAAACTGGTGAGGACTGGTGGAAACTGGTGAGGACTGATGGAGACAGGTAGAGACAGGTGGAGACAGGTGAAGACAGGTGAGGACTGGTGGAGACTGGTGGAAACTGGTGAGGACTGGTGGAAACTGGTGAGGACTGGTGGAGACAGGTAGAGACAGGTAGAGACAGGTGGAGACAGGTGAAGACAGGTGAGGACTGGTAGAGACAGGTGAGGACTGGTGGAGACAATAGAGGACTGGTGGAAACTGGTGAGGACTGGTGGAGACAATAGAGGACTGGTGGAAACTGGTGAGGACTGGTGGAGACAATAGAGGACTGGTGAGGACAGGTGGAGACAATAGAGGACTGGTGGAGACAGGTAGTAATGTAATATTGAGACATTTTTATCTACAGAGGAAGCAGCTCCTCTTCTGGTGGAGTCCGCCATGTTTCTACAGTCACACAGCACCTCTCCTCTTCCTCCTCTTCCTCATTCTCCTCCTCTTCCTCCTCCTCTTCCTCCTCTTCTTCCTCCTCCTCTTCCTCCTCCTCTTCCTCCTCTTCCTCATTCTCCTCCTCTTCCTCCTCCTCTTCCTCCTCTTCTTCCTCCTCCTCTTCCTCCTCCTCTTCCTCCTCTTCCTCATTCTCCTGCTCCTCCTTTATTGATTCATTGATCTGTAAACTCACAAATATATTCAACAAAACAAATAATTAGCAAAAGAAAATTCTGTAAAAAATCTAAAGCAAACAATACTATTTATTATTGATCATATAATATTAATATTGATAATATAATACAATTATTGATCATATAATATTAATATTGATAATATAATACAATTATTGATCATATAATATTAATATTGATAATATAATACAATTATTGATCATATAATATTAATATTGATAATATAATACAATTATTGATCATATAATATTAATATTTATAATATAATACAATTATTGATCATATAATATTAATATTGATAATATAATACAATTATTGATCATATAATATTAATATTGATAATATAATACAATTATTGATCATATAATATTAATATTGATAATATAATACAATTATTGATCATATAATATTAATATTTATAATATAATACAATTATTGATCATATAATATTAATATTGATAATATAATACAATTATTGATCATATAATATTAATATTTATAATGAAATACAATTATTGATCATATAATATTAATATTGATAATATAATACAATTATTGATCATATAATATTAATATTGATAATATAATACAATTATTGATCATATAATATTAATATTGATAATATAATACAATTATTGATCATATAATATTAATATTTATAATATAATACAATTATTGATCATATAATATTAATATTGATAATATAATACAATTATTGATCATATAATATTAATATTTATAATGAAATACAATTATTGATCATATAATTACTGATCATAAAATATTGATAATATAATACAATTATTGATCATATAATATTAATATTGATAATATAATACAATTATTGATCATATAATATTAATATTGATAATATAATACAATTATTGATCATATAATATTAATATTGATAATATAATACAATTATTGATCATATAATATTAATATTGATAATATAATACAATTATTGATCATATAATATGACTGATAATAAACTATTGATATTGATAATATAACATTAATGTTGATAATAAGATGTGTGACTGGAGGAGTTCAATAAGGAACACAGATTAAGTGTTTATTGATTATTATATAATAACAATATGATGATTTAATAAAGATTAATAAACATCCTCACAGTCTGTTACTAATCATTGATTATAATCGATCATTAGAAATAATCAATAACTGTTTAATAATCAGCTGATTGACTGGCTCGCGCTGTCAGACAGCAGGTGGCGGGAATGAGGCTCAACTCTGCTTAACGACTTCCGGTATAGAAGAAGAAGAAGCTGCTGCAACCGGCGGTAGAAGCTAACGTTAGCATTAGCTGCTGTTCGTTTGTTCCCAGGTTGTGATGTTTCCGTGTGTTAGCGTAGCTACACTGCAGCTAACTGCTAACTGCTAACAGGAGAGAAACCACACTGACGGTGAGTGAACGCTGCTAACTGTTAGCTGCATGCTAACTGTTAGCTGCATGCTAACGGCTAACTGTTGTTACCGGTTACTGAGGGCGGATCTGTTCTCTGAATAACACTACAGTTTAACCACAGTGTGTCATTATTGAACGTTTATTTAAATGAGTGAATGAACGTTAACCGGAGCAGGACACACTTTGGAAGGGGAACCGATTTTATCACAACACCTGCTACAGCCGGCTGCTAGCTAACTGAGAGCTAACTGAGAGCTAACTGGCTGAATGATTAAATACAGTTAACGTTAATTAAATACAGTTAACGTTAATTAAATACAGTTAACGTTAATTAAATACAGTTCTAAACTGTCAGGTTGGTTAGCATGATGCTAACAGAGCAGTTAGTGTGACCCTAAAGACAACTTCCTGTCTGTGACCTGAAGTAATTTCATCATCAGGACTTATTAATAAAATCATTAATGACATCATGTTTAATTAGTAAAGTAGTTTAAAAACAGGCACACAACCATTTACAGGACAATTAGCTGATAATGATCCTGATCAGCCTTCAGTTACCAAGCTCCTCTAGAACACTACGTTCTCTGAATGCTGGGCTACTTGTGGTTCCTATAGTCTCTAAAAGTAGAACAGGAGCCAGAGCCTTCAGTTACCAAGCTCCTCTCCTGTGGAACCAGCTTCCAGTTGTGGTTCGGGAGGCAGACACCCTCACCACATTCAAGAGTAGGCTTAAGACATTCCTCTTTGATAAAGCTTATAGTTAGGGCTGGATCAGGTGAGTCCTGAACCATCCCTTAGTTATGCTGCTATAGGCCTAGACTATCGGGGGATTTCCCATGGTGCACTGAGCTCCTCTCTTCCTCTCTCTTTCTGCACTCATTCATGTCCCATTAATGCATGTTACTAACTTCACTTCTTCCCCGGAGTTCTTGCGCTTTCTCGTCTCGCAGGTTCTCATGGATCCTGGTGGAGCCTCCTGCCATGGTCCTGCTAGATTACCATTGCCAATACTGTTGTTGCTGTGCACCTGTCTGTCTGTCTCTCGCTCTCTCTCTCTCTCTCTCTCTCTGTCTGTCTGTCTGTCTCTCTCTCTCTCACCCCAACTGGTCGAGACAGACGACCACCCACCTAGAGCCGGAGGATCTGTCCTAGGTTTCTGCCTTTTAACAGGCAGTGTTTCCTTGCCCTTGTCTCCAAGGTCTTGCTCATGGTGGTACTGTTGGGTCTCTGTAATTAATGTTATAAAGAGTTCGGTCTAGACCTGCTCTATTTGAAAAGTGTCCTGAGATAACTTCTGTTATGAATTGGTGCTATACAAATAAAATGTAATTGATCAGTAATCAATACTCACATTAATCAAACTAATACAGTCAGCAACCTGATCAGCCTTCAGCAGTTAGCTAGTGTTTCTGTAGTGGAGACTAAACGTTAACAATGATCCATATCAGCAGTTTGAATCCAACTAAAAGCTCCCTGCACCAAACTCCCTTTAAGAAATATCACATTTTAACAATTCCTAACGTGTTCGTAACAACACGTAACTCTAGAAACACGAGCTAAAGGCCGTCATATGTCCACAGTCTGACTGTCAATACAGGATCAATATCATCCATAAAGATACAGTGTATACTGATCAATAATCCATAAAGATACAGTGTATACTGATCAATATCATCCATAAAGATACAGTGTATACTGATCAATAATCCATAAAGATACAGTGTATACTGATCAATATCATCCATAAAGATACAGTGTATACTGATCAATATCATCCATAAAGATCCTGCCAGGATTGGCCTGGTAAATGCTAGATCACTAGCGAACAAGACTTTTGTCTTTAAGGACTTCTTCACGTCCCGAGGATTGGATTTCCTCTGTGTGACTGAGACATGGCTGAGTGTTGGTGAATCCAGCGCTTTCACTGAACTTTTACCCCATGATTGCTGCTACTTTAACCCCTCGCGGACGTCAGGCCGAGGAGGAGGAATAGCGACCGTCTATAAGAGCCATTATAAATGTAAGCAGTTATTGCTGTCATCCTCTTTCACCAGCTTTGAACTGAGCTTATTTGAGCTTGGTCGCTCTCACACAGTGTTGTGTGCTGTGGTCTATCGGCCTCCCAAGTACAATAAGGTCTTTTTAAATGACTTTTCTGATTTCCTGGCTGAAATCATGCCTAAATATGACCGTGTTCTTATTGTTGGGGATTTTAATGTTCATGTGTGTTGTCCTGATAAGCCAATGGCAAAGGGGTTTCTAAACCTCATTGATTCTTTTAATCTTGTGCAATCTGTGTCTGGACCCACACAAGAACACAGACACACACTTGATCTTGTCTTATCATATGGTTTGCCCGTTTTTAACCTAGAGATACGTGACACAGTGTTTCCTGACCATATGCCTGTATTATTTGAGGCTGCTCTTGCCTGTCATACAGTTAAACCTCGCGCTGCTGCTCGGCGCTGTCGCATTATTAACCCTTCCACTGCTGTTCAGTTCTCAGTTGCTTTCAGTCAGAACTCCATCATTCCTGAGTCTGTGTGCAATTCAGAAGAGCTTACCTCATGGTTTCACTCCACCTGCCAAACTGTTTTAGACACTGTGGCTCCATTAAAATCCAGGCAGCCTAAAACTAAATCTGAGCCCTGGCTAAATGACACAACTCATGCTGTCAGACGTGAGTGCCGTAGAGCTGAGCGCAAGTGGAAGAAGGACAAACTGCAGGTGTCTTTTCAAATGTTAAGGGACTGCTGGCGTCATTATCAGAAAACTGTGAAAGATGCTAAAAGAAAACATTTCTCGGATATTATCCAGTCAAACTGTCACAAGCCTTTGTTAAACACTATTGACTCAGTTCTTAATGCCCCACAAACTGCCTGTATGGAGGCGTCCCCTGCTGTGTGTGGAAACTTCCTTCACTTTTTTATTGATAAGGTCACTTCAATTAGGGCTCAAATCTCACCTTCAGCTTATGACCCCTCAATCTCTGTTCCCTGCTCTGCTGTTTTTGACCATTTTGAGCCTGTGACTTTTTCCTTTTTACCGGAGGTTGTTGGTCATTTGAAGCCCTCGGGTTCTCCAAATGATGCTGTCCCCCCTCGACTATTTAAAGAGGTTTTCCCCACTGTAGGACCATCTGTTATTGCAGTCATAAATAGCAGTCTGTCCTCAGGTGTGGTCCCTTAAAATTTTAAACATGCAGTAGTGCAACCTCTGATTAAAAAACCTGCTCTAGATCCTGCAGTTCTTGCTAATTTCAGGCCTATCTCCAAATTGCCTTTCCTTTTAAAAAATCCTGGAGAAGGTTGTGCACAGTCAATTAATGGCCTTTCTGGAAGAACATAATATCCTAGAGGTTTTCCTATCCGGTTTTAAAACCCTGCACAGCACCGAATCAGCTCTCTTGAGAGTTTTTATTGATATCTTTTGAGCTACTGACTCTGGTGACTGTGTTATCCTTGTGCTTTTAGATTTAACTACTGCATTTGACACAGTGGATCAGTGGGTCCTCCATCGCCCGTCTCCAGATGGTACAGAATGCTGCTGCATGTCTTTTAACTGGCACACGTAAACATGAGCACATTTCCCCCATTTTAGCCTCACTCCACTGGCTGCCTATTCAATTTAGGATCCATTTTAAAATTCTTTTATTTGCTTTTAAATCCCTGAATGGTCTTGCCTCGCCCTACCTCTCTGAGCTTCTACACCCCTATATACCCATCCGCCCCCTCAGGTCAGATGATCAGCTGCTCCTGAGTGTGCCTAAAACTAAGCGGAAGCTCAGAGGGAACCATGCCTTTGCTGTGTCTGTTCCTAAATTATGGAATGATCTGCCTCTGCACGTTAAACAGGCCTCTTCTCTGTCTGTTTTTAAATCCCGTCTTAAAACCCATCTCTTCTCTGTGGCCTTTGACACCTAGTAAGATGTCGACTTTATTTACTTGATTTAATTTCTTATTTTGCTTATTATTGCGCGGCTATTATTTTTAGTCATGTTTTATGTCTTTTCTTTTTTCTTATTTTATGTAATTCTGCGCCTCGTGAGCTGTTATGTCTTTTATTTATGATGTCTTATTTATTCTCCTGTACAGCACTTTGGTCAACTTTGGTTGTTTTAAATTGCTTAACAAGTAAAGTTGGATTGGATAAAGATTCAATTCAATTTCAATTAAATTCAGTTTTATTTGTATAGCGCCAATTCATAACAGAAGTTATCTCAGGACACTTTTCAAATAGAGCAGGTCTAGACCGAAATCCTTATAACATTATTTACAGAGACCCAACAGTACCACCATGAGCAAGCACTTGGCGACCAGGGCAAGGAAAAAATGCCCGTTAAAAGGCAGAAACCTAGGACAGATCCTTCGGCTCTAGGTGGGTGGTCGTCTGCCTCGACCAGTTGGGGTGAAAGAGAGAGACAGAGAGACAGACAGGTGCACAGCAACAACAGTATTGGCAATGGAAATCTAGCAGGACCATGGCAGGAGGCTGCACAAGGATCGATAAGAACCTGCGAGACGAGAAAGCACAAGAACTCCGGGGAAGAAGTGAAGTTAGTAACATGCATTAATGGGACATGAATGAGTGCAGAAAGAGAGAGGAAGAGAGGAGCTCAGTGCACCATGGGAAATCCCCCGAGAGTCTAGGCCTATAGCAGCATCACTAAGGGATGGTTCAGGACTCACCTGATCCAGCCCTAACTATAAGCTTTATCAAAGAGTAATGTCTTAAGCCTACTCTTGAATGTGGAGAGGGTGTCTGCCTCCCGAACCACAACTGGAAGCTGGTTCCACAGGAGAGGAGCTTGGTAACTGAAGGCTCTGGCTCCTGTTCTACTTTTAGAGACTATAGGAACCACAAGTAGCCCAGCATTCAGAGAACGTAGTGTTCTAGAGGGGTAATAGGGTACTATGAGCTCTTTAAGATATGAAGGGGCCTGACCATGAAGAGCTTTATAGGTGAGGAGGAGGATTTTAAATTCTATTCTACATTTTACAGGGAGCCAGTGCAGAGAAGCTAGTACAGGAGAGATGTGATCTCTTTTTCTAGTTCCTGTCAGTACTCGTGCTGCAGCGTTCTGAATTAATTGGAGTGTTTTAATGGACTTATTGAGGCAACCTGATAATAAAGAGTTGCAGTAATCCAGCCTTGAAATAACAAATGCATGGATTAGTTTTTCTGCATCTGTCTGTGATAGTATGTGTCTAATTTTTGTAATATTACGTAAATGAAAGAAGGCAGTCCTAGAGGTCTGCTTCATGTGGGAATTAAAAGACAAATCCTGATCAAAGATAACTCCAATATTCCAATAACAGTGGTGCTAGAGGCCAAGGTAATGCCATCTAGAGTAACTATATCTTTAGACAGTGAGTCTCTAAGGTTTTTGGGGCCAAGAACAAGAATTTCATTTCTTTCTGAGTTCAAAAAATCAGAAAATTGCAGCTCATCCAGGATTTGATGTCCTTAAGACATGTTTGTAATTTAGATAATTGATTAATTTCATCGGGCTTGATCGATAGATATAACTGCGTATCATCTGCATAACAGTGAAAGTTAATGGAGTGATTCCTAATAATGTTGCCTAAAGGGAGCATATATAAAGTAAATAGTATTGGTCCAAGTACAGAACCTTGTGGAACTCCATGACTAACTGTAGTATTTATTGAAGATTCATCATTAACATGTACAAACTGCGAACAATCTGATAAATATGACTTAAACCAGCTTAGTGCGGTTCCTTTAATGCCAATTTGATGCTCAAGTCTCTGTAAAAGAATATTATGGTCAATGGTGTCAAATGCAGCTCTAAGATCTAATAATACAAGTACAGAGACAAGTCCATTGTCAGAAGCAGTCAGAAGGTCATTATTAACTTTAACCAGAGCTGTCTCTGTGCTGTGATGAACTCTAAATCCTGCCTGAAAATCCTCAAATAAACTATTGTTATGTAGAAAGTCACACAACTCTTTGGCGACTACTTTCTCCAGAATCTTAGAGAGGAAGGGGAGGTTAGAAATCGGTCTATAGTTGGCTAAAACCCCTGGGTCAAGAGTGGACTTTTTAAGAAGGGGTTTAATTACAGCTACTTTAAAGGACTGTGGTACATATCCTGATAATAAAGAAAGATTAATCATATCCAGTAAAGAAGTGCCAATTAAGGGAACAACTTCTTTAAGCAGCCTAGTTGGGATCGGGTCTAATAGACAGGTTGATGGCTTCGATGAAGAAATGATTGAAGTTAACTGATGAAGATCGATAGCAGAAAAACAGTCTTAATATATATCTAAGTTTACATTGGCAGAAGTCCCTGAACTTGGAGAGCCACTGATAACTGTTGATGGCAGTTGGTGATTAATTTTCTCTCTAATAGTAATAATTTTGTTATAAAAGAAGCTCATGAAGTCATTGCTACTTAAGTTTATGGGGATATGTGGCTCAATAGAGCTGTGACTCTCTGTCAGCCTGGCTACAGTGCTGAAGAGGAACCTAGGGTTATTCTTATTTTCTTCTATTAGTGCTGAGTAATAGGCTCCTCTGGCATTACGGAGGGCCTTTCTATAGGTTTTAAGATTAACTTGCCAAATTGAGCGATATTCTGATAATTTGGAAGAGCGCCATTTCCTTTCAGATTTCGTAGCTATTTGTTTTAACTGGCGGGTTTGGTGGTTGTACCAAGGTGCTAGTTCCTATGTTTAAATAATTTCCTTTTTATAGGAGCGATAGAGTCTAATGTTGATCGTAGTGAGCCTGCAGCACTATCGACAAGATTATCAATTTCAGAGGGACTAAAGTCATTATAGGACTCTGTTAAATTCAGACATGGCATTGAATTAAACACTGAAGGAATCTCCTCCTTAAATTTAGCTACAGCACTGTCAGATAGACATCTGCTGTAGGAAGTTTTGCCTAATGGCTTATAATCTAATAGTATGAATTCAAAAGTTATTAAATAATGGTCAGATAGGAAAGGATCATGTGGGAAGACTATTAAATGTTCAATATCAATGCCATATGATAGAACAAGATCAAGAGTGTGATTAAAACAATGAGTTTGTTTATTTACACTCTGACAGAAGCCAATTGAGTCTATTAATGATATAAATGCATTACTAAGGCTGTCATTGTTAACATCCACATGAATATTAAAATCACCTACAATAATTACTTTATCTGATTTAAGGACTAAGCTTGATAGAAACTCTGAAAATTCAGATATAAAATCAGAGTACGGTCCAGGAGCGCGGTACACTATAACAAATAGAACTGGCTGCAGTGTTTTCCAGGATGGGTGAGAAAGACTAAGAACAAGGCTTTCAAATGAATTATAATTTAGTTTAGGTTTAGGGTCCATTAAAACGCTCGAATCATATATGGCTGCCACTCCACCTCCTCGGCCTGTGCCTCGAGGAATGTGAGTATTAATATGACTGGGGGGGGTGGATTCATTTAGGCTAACATACTCCTCGTGGGACAACCAGGTCTCAGTAAGACAAAGTAAATCAATATCATAATCTGATATTAATTCATTCACTAAAACAGCTTTAGAGGACAGAGACCTGATATTTAACAGTCCACATTTCATTCTCTTATTTTGTGCTACTGAGGAGTTGGTTTTAATTTTTATTAGATTTTTTATGTTGAACTCCTCTTGTTTTTATTTCTTTAAATAGTTTAGGTGGTCGGGGGACAGACACAGTCTCTATGGGGTTTTGGGTGGGTGACTGTTCTAAAGAAAGCTCAGAGAAGTGTGTAAGACAGCAGCTCTGCTTCCTGGTCCCAACTCTGGACTGTCAGGTTTTAGAAATAAACTTCGCCATATTTCTAGATAAGAGAGCCGCTCCATCCAAAGTGGGATGGATGCCGTCTCTCCCTAATCAGACCAGGTTTTCCCCAAAAAGGCTTCCAGTTATCAATGAAGCCCACATCGTTTGCTGGACACCACCTCGACAGCCAGCGGTGGAATGACGACATGCGTCTATACATGTGATCACTGGTCACATTGGGGAGGGGTCCAGAGAAAACTACGGTGTCCGACATTGTTTTAGCATAATTACACACCGACTCCACATTAATCTTAGTGACCTCCGATTGGTGTAAACGGGTGTCGTTACCGCCGACGTGGATAACAATCTTACTGTATTTACGTTTATCTTTAGCCAGCAGTTCTAAATTTGATTCAATGTCGCCCGCTCTGGCCCCAGGGATACATTTAACTATGGCCGCTGGCTTCACTAACTTCACATTTCTGACTATGGAGCTGCCAATAACCAGAGTGGGTTCCTCAGCGGGTGTATCGCTGAGTGGGGAAAATGTATTGGAAACATGAATGGGTTGGTGATGAACTGTGGGCTTCGGTGTTTTAGTCTTCCTTCGCTCAGTCACCTCCCTGTCTTCCCGGCTGCTCGGGAACTACCGGAGGAACTACCGGAGGAACTACAGAGCTAGCAGAAGCTACCTTCGGTTGGACCACACCGGCTACTGGGGGCTGGCTAACTATAGCGGCTAAAGATATCTCAGTGGTGCGGTACCGTTCCTCTAACTCACTAAGCCTCGCCTCCAGCGCAGTAAATAAACTACCCTTAATACAAGAACCATTATCGTTAAAGGAGGCAGAGGAATAACTGAACATCTGACACACTGAGCAGGACAGAGCAGAGGGAGAGGGAGAAGCCATAGCTAACTGCTAATGCAGTGAGAGATACAGCGTATACTGATCAATATCATCAATTCTGATCAATAGAATTGATTGGTGGATCATTCACTGTCTGTGTGTGAGTGATGGCGTTACCATAGTAACTACTGGTTCTCTGCTTCCTGTGTGCCTGAGAGAGTCTCTGATTGGCTGTAGCTTGCTAGATATTGATCCTCATAGATATTCTTCTGGCATCAGCGAGCTCTCTGGTCGGATGTTCTTCATGTTCATCATCATCAGTCACTACTATTAGTGTAGTTGTTGCTACTGTTGTTGCTGTGCGTCTCTTTCGCTCTCTCACCCCAACTGGTCGAGACAGACGACCACCCACCTAGAGCCGGAGGATCTGTCCTAGGTTTCTGCCTTTTAACAGGCAGTTTTTCCTTGCCCTTGTCTCCAAGGTCTTGCTCATGGTGGTACTGTTGGGTCTCTGTAATTAATGTTAAAGAGTTCGGGTCTAGACCTGCTCTATTTGAAAAGTGTCCTGAGATAACTTCTGTTATGAATTGGTGCTATACAAATAAAATTGAATTGAATTGAATGAGGTCTGATATGGTCTGATGTGTTTCTAATTGACCCTCTGTGTGTGTTTCTTCCTCAGTGTCTTCGGTGTCTCTGATATGAGCAGCTCTGTAAGTTTCTTCTTCCCTTAAACAGACGAGGCTGTGTAGCGATTTGTAAAAAGGAAGTTCAAAATAAAGTAGGTCTTCAGTATAATCAATAATAATAATAATAATAATGTGTGTTCAGGCTCAGAGGAAGAGGAGGACCACAGGAAGTCCTCTGGGTTCCAGATCCAGCACCAAGACCAGCAGAGGGGTTAACGCTAGGAGGACGGCTGTCACTAACAGAGCGGCTAACATTAGCAGGACGTCAGATGGTGACCCCGCTCCCCCCACAGAAACCATCGACGTGATGGACAACACTGAGGACAGTCAGTACAGATCAGTGCTCTCTGTTATTGATTAGCATGGTCTGATCTGATCAATAATCAATAACTGGTGTGTTCAGGTGTGGAGGAGGTGGTGGATCTGACCTGTGAGGGATCAGAGGCTCCTGTGGTCGACCTGACCAACAACGACTCAGTGCTGGTAACAAACATTAATCACACGCTAATAACAAACATTAATCACACGCTTATAACAAACATTAATAACAAACATTAATAATATACTAGTAACAAACATTAATAACATGCTAATAACAAACATTAATAATATACTAGTAACAAACATTAATAACACGCTAATAACAAACATTAATGATATACTAGTAACAAACATTATAATATACTAGTAACAAACATTAATAACATGCTAATAACAAACATTAATAACACGCTAATAACAAACATTAATAATATACTAGTGACAAACATTAATAACACGCTAATAACAAACATTAATAATATACTAGTAACAAACATTAATAACACGCTAATAACAAACATGAATAATATACTAGTAACAAACATTAATAACATGCTAATAACAAACATCAATAACATATACTAGTAACAAACATTAATAACATATACTAGTAACAAACATTAATAACATGCTAATAACAAACATCAATAACATATACTAGTAACAAACATTAATAATTTACTAGCAACAAACATTAATAACATGGTAGTAACAAACACTAGTAACAAACATTAACATACTGGTAACAAACATTAACATATACTGGTAACAAACATTAACATATACTGGTAACAAACATTAATAACACGCTAATAAACATTAACAATATACTAGTAACAAACATTAATAACATGCTAGTAACAAACATTAGTAACATATACTGGTAACAAACATTGACATGCTAGTAACAAACATTAGTAACATGCTAGTAACAAACATTAGTAACATGCTAGTAACAAACATTAATAACATATACTAGTAACAAACATTAACATGCTAGTAACAAACATTAATAACATACACTAGTAACAAACATTAACATACTAGTAACAAACATTAACATGCTAGTAACAAACATTAGTAACATACTAGTAACAAACATTAGTAACATACTAGTAACAAACACTAGTAACATATACTAGTAACAAACATTAACATGCTAGTAACAAACAGTAACATGCTAGTAACAAACATTAATGACATATACTAGTAACAAACATTAATGACATATACTAGTAACAAACATTAATAACATATACTAGCAACAAACATTAATAACATATACTAGTAACACATTAACATGCTAGTAACAAACATTAACAACATATACTAGTAACAAACATTAATAACATACGCTAGTAACAAACATTAATAACATATACTAGCAACAAACATTAATAACATACTAGCAACAAACATTAATAACATACTAGTAACAAACATTAATAACATATACTAGTAACAAACATTAGTAACATACACTAGTAACAAACAGTAATAACATACACTAGTAACAAACATTAACATGCTAGTAACAAACATTAATAACATATACTAGCAACAAACATTAATAACATACTAGTAACAAACATTAATAACATATACTAGTAACAAACATTAACATACTAGTAACAAACATTAACATGCTAGTAACAAACATTAACATGCTAGTAACAAACATTAATAATATACTAGTAACAAACATTAATAACATACTAGTAACAAACATTAATAACATACTAGTAACAAACATTAACATGCTAGTAACAAACATTAATAACATATACTAGTAACAAACATTAATAACATACTAGTAAAAAACATTAATAACATATACTAGTAACAAACATTAACATGCTAGTAACAAACATTAACATGCTAGTAACAAACATTAACATGCTAGTAACAAACATTAATAATATACTAGTAACAAACATTAATAACATACTAGTAACAAACATTAATAACATACTAGTAACAAACATTAACATGCTAGTAACAAACATTAATAACATACTAGTAACAAACATTAACATACTAGTCACAAACATTAGTAACATATACTAGTAACAAACATTAGTAACATATACTAGTAACAAACATTAATAACATATACTAGTAACAAACATTAATAACATATACTAGTAACACACATTAATAACATATACTAGTAACACATTAACATGCTAGTAACAAACTAACATGCTAGTAACAAACATTAGTAACATATACTAGTAACAAACATTAGTAACATATACTAGTAACAAACATTAGTAACATATACTAGTAACAAACATTAATAACATATACTAGTAACGAACACTGGTAACAAACATTAATAACATACTAGTAACAAACATTAACATACTGGTAACAAACATTAATTCAATTCAATTCAATTTTATTTGTATAGCGCCAACTCATAACAGAAGTTATCTCAGGACACTTTTCAAATAGAGCAGGTCTAGACCGAACTCTTTAACATTAATTACAGAGACCCAACAGTACCACCATGAGCAAGCACTTGGCGACAAGGGCAAGGAAAAACTGCCTGTTAAAAGGCAGAAACCTAGGACAGATCCTCCGGCTCTAGGTGGGTGGTCGTCTGTCTCGACCAGTTGGGGTGAGAGAGAGAGAGAGAGAGAGCGACAGACAGACAGACAGGTGCACAGCAACAACAGTATTGGCAATGGCAGTCAAGCTGGACCATGGCAGGAGGCTCCACCAGGATCCATGAGAACCTGCGAGTATATAACATATACTAGTAACACATTAACATATACTAGTAACAAACATTAATAACATATACTAGTAACACATTAACATATACTAGTAACAAACATTAATAACATACTAGTAACAAACATTAATAACATACTAGTAACAAACATTAGTAACATATACTAGCAACAAACATTAGTAACATATACTAGCAACACATTAACATATACTAGTAACAAACATTAACATATACTAGTAACAAACATTAGTAACATATACTAGTAACAAACATTAATAACATATACTAGTAACAAACATTAATAACATATACTAGTAACAAACATTAGTAACATATACTAGTAACAAACATTAGTAACATATACTAGCAACAAACATTAGTAATATATACTAGCAACAAACATTAGTAACATATACTAGTAACAAACATTAATAACATATACTAGTAACACATTAACATATACTAGTAACAAACATTAACATACTAGTAACAAACATTAACATGCTAGTAACAAACATTAATAATATACTAGTAACAAACATTAATAACATACTAGTAACAAACATTAATAACATACTAGTAACAAACATTAGTAACATATACTAGTAACAAACATTAGTAACATATACTAGTAACAAACATTAATAACATACTAGTAACAAACATTAATAACATATACTAGTAACAAACATTAATAACATATACTAGTAACACACATTAATAACATATACTAGTAACACACATTAATAACATATACTAGTAACACATTAACATGCTAGTAACAAACTAACATGCTAGTAACAAACATTAGTAACATATACTAGTAACAAACATTAGTAACATATACTAGTAACAAACATTAATAACATATACTAGTAACGAACACTGGTAACAAACATTAATAACATACTAGTAACAAACATTAACATACTGGTAACAAACATTAATTCAATTCAATTCAATTTTATTTGTATAGCGCCAACTCATAACAGAAGTTATCTCAGGACACTTTTCAAATAGAGCAGGTCTAGACCGAACTCTTTAACATTAATTACAGAGACCCAACAGTACCACCATGAGCAAGCACTTGGCGACAAGGGCAAGGAAAAACTTCCTGTTAAAAGGCATAAACCTAGGACAGATCCTCCGGCTCTAGGTGGGTGGTCGTCTGTCTCGACCAGTTGGGGTGAGAGAGAGAGAGAGAGAGAGAGAGAGAGAGAGAGAGAGAGCGACAGACAGACAGACAGGTGCACAGCAACAACAGTATTGGCAATGGCAGTCAAGCTGGACCATGGCAGGAGGCTCCACCAGGATCCATGAGAACCTGCGAGTATATAACATATACTAGTAACACATTAACATATACTAGTAACAAACATTAATAACATATACTAGTAACACATTAACATATACTAGTAACAAACATTAATAACATACTAGTAACAAACATTAATAACATACTAGTAACAAACATTAGTAACATATACTAGCAACAAACATTAGTAACATATACTAGCAACACATTAACATGCTAGTAACAAACATTAGTAACATATACTAGTAACAAACATTAATAACATATACAAGTAACACATTAACATATACTAGTAACAAACATTAACATATACTAGTAACAAACATTAACATGCTAGCAACAAACATTAATAACATATACTAGTAACAAACATTAGTAACATATACTAGTAACAAACATTAATAACATATACTAGTAACACATTAACATATACTAGTAACAAACATTAACATACTAGTAACAAACATTAACATGCTAGCAACAAACATTAATAACATATACTAGTAACAAACATTAGTAACATATACTAGTAACAAACATTAATAACATATACTAGTAACAAACATTAATAACATATACTAGTAACAAACATTAATAACATATACTAGTAACAAACATTAATAACATATACTAGTAACAAACATTAATAACATATACTAGTAACACATTAACATATACTAGTAACAAACATTAATAACATATACTAGTAACAAACATTAATAACATATACTAGTAACAAACATTAATAACATGTACTAGTAACAAACATTAGTAACATATACTAGTAACAAACATTAACATGCTAGCAACAAACATTAATAACATATACTAGTAACAAACATTAATAACATATACTAGTAACACATTAACATATACTAGTAACAAACATTAATAACATATACTAGTAACACATTAACATATACTAGTAACAAACATTAATAACATATACTAGTAACACATTAACATGCTAGTAACAAACATTAATAACATACACTAGTAACAAACATTAGTAACATATACTAGTAACAAACATTAGTAACATATACTAGTAACAAACATTAACAGCATATACTAGTAACAAACATTAGTAACATATACTAGTAACAAACATTAGTAACATGCTAGTAACAAACATTAGTAACATATACTTGTAACAAACATTAGTAACATGCTAGTAACAAACATTAGTAACATACTAGTAACAAACATTAATAACATACTAGTAACAAACATTAACATGCTAGTAACAAACATTAATAACATACACTAGTAACAAACATTAGTAACATATACTAGTAACAAACATTAGTAACATGCTAGTAACAAACATTAGTAACATGCTAGTAACAAACATTAGTAACATGCTAGTAACATACATTAGTAACATACTAGTAACAAACATTAATAACATATACTAGTAACAAACATTAGTAACATATACTAGTAACAAACATTAGTAACATATTCTAGTAACAAACATTAGTAACATGCTAGTAACAAACATTAGTAACATACTAGTAACAAACATTAGTAACATATACTAGTAACAAACATTAGTAACATATACTAGTAACAAACATTAGTAACATGCTAGTAACAAACATTAGTAACATGCTAGTAACAAACATTAATAACATATACTAGTAACAAACATTAATAACATATACTAGTAACAAACATTAATAACATATACTAGTAACAAACATTAACAGCATATACTAGTAACAAACATTAATAGCATATACTTGTAACAAACATTAGTAACATACACTAGTAACAAACAGTAACATACTAGTAACAAACATTAGTAACATATACTAGTAACAAGCATTAACAGCATATACTAGTAACAAACATTAGTAACATACTAGTAACAAACATTAGTAACATATACTAGTAACAAACATTAGTAACATACTAGTAACAAGCATTAACAGCATATACTAGTAACAAACATTAGTAACATACTAGTAACAAACATTAGTAACATATACTAGTAACAAACATTAGTAACATATACTAGTAACAAACATTAATTCAATTCAATTCAATTCAATTTTATTTGTATAGCGCCAATTCATAACAGAAGTTATCTCAGGACACTTTTCAAATAGAGCAGGTCTAGACCGAACTCTTTAACATTAATTACAGAGACCCAACAGTACCACCATGAGCAAGACCTTGGTGACAAGGGCAAGGGAAACACTGCCTGTTAAAAGGCAGAAACCTAGGACAGATCCTCCGGCTCTAGGTTGGTGGTCGTAATAACATATACTAGTAACAAACATTAGTAACATGCTAGTAACATTAATAACACGCTAATAACAAACATTAGTAACATGCTAGTAACAAACATTAATAACATACTAGTAACATTAATAACACGCTAATAACAAACATTAGTAACATGCTAGTAACAAACATTAGTAACATGCTAGTAACAAACATTAGTAACATGCTAGTTACAAACATTAGTAACATGCTAGTTACAAACATTAGTAACATACTAATAACAAACATAATACTAGTAACATTAATAACATGCTAATAACAAACATTAGTAACATGCTAGTAACAAACATTAATAACATACTAGTAACATTAATAACATGCTAATAACAAACATTAATAACATGCTAATAACAAACATTAATAACACGCTAATAACAAACATTAATAACACGCTAGTAACAAACATTAGTAACATGCTAGTAACAAACATTAGTAACATGCTAGTTACAAACATTAGTAACATGCTAGTTACAAACATTAGTAACATGCTAGTAACAAACATTAATAACATACTAATAACAAACATAATACTAGTAACATTAATAACACGCTAATAACAAACATTAATAACACGCTAATAACAAACATTAATAACACGCTAATAACAAACATTAATAATATACTAGTAACAAACATTAGTAACATGCTAGTAACATGTTAATAACAAACATTAATGACATGCTAACAACATGCTAATGTGTTTATTGAGATGTCTTCAGTTTTCAAACTGACTCTTCTTCTTGTTCTTTGCTGCTGCTGTTGTTGCTGTGACGTCCCAGCTGGTAGACGAAGGTAAAACTTTACTCACTTCAGGTTCAGTCATCATTCTTAAATAAAGTTTCACTAAGTAAAATGTGTGTGGTTGTCCTCCATCAGGTCCTCAGAACAGGAGAGTCACCACAGGGGAGAGTTACGTCGTCAGCAGTGATGAAGACGAGGACACGCCCCCTGTCCTCAACGCTGCAGTCATATCGTCTCTACAGACCCACAGCTCCTCCAGGTAATAGACTGATCCATTGTTACTGTTACACAGGGCCGGCCCAAGCCTCCATGGGGCCCTAAGCAAAATTGGATTTTGGGGCCCTCTATTACTGCCAATGATAAGGATTATTGATCATTCACACACCTACTATAAACGTATTCTACTTATTCTACTCTGTCATTACGAATACACTTACTTAACTTAACTAAATGTGAGAACTTGAAAATGATGCAGCTTATTTTCTACAGCAATAGCTTGTAATAAGAAAACAAACTGCCAGTGGAACAACTGAAAATTGCTTGAGAAGTTTTGAAATAATATGGATTTGTCTAAAATCATGTACCTTGTCATATGATTATATCTTCTATCTTATATTAAAAAAATATTCATCTCAGGAAGTTCTGCAGTGCACTGAGCAATTAAAGGCTGTTTACAGCTGAGGTTGCAGAGAGGACAGTGGGCACAGTGGATGGAGCAGAGGATAGAGATGGACCTGAGATGAAAAACATGTCCCTTGTCATATGATTATATCTTATATTAGTATATCTTCATGAGATAATTTGACTAGAAATGAAATATATATGGTGACAGTGTTTGATCACCTGATTCATCAGCCTTGGCTGCTCCTGAGGAGGTGGATTGCCCCTGGGCTGAGTCAGTGCCTCCTCCTAAATACTTTAACAGTGCTCCTGGGGAAGTTTCATATAACGTATGAGCATCATAGGGAGTTGATGTAAAAGGAATATGTTTATTTACTCACATAAATGACTGTGCTCTGCAGCAAACAATAGCAAACAACATACCTCAAACTATAAGTTTACTAAATTAATTCATTAATGCAAAACCATATTGCTAGCAAACATCACCGCGTTTGTAATTAACGTTATTAAACATTTGCTATCAAACGTTCTTATCAAAAACGTTGTTTTGATGCCAAAAAGCGACCCAGAATAATATAAATACACTGAGAATCAATTTATTCAAAGTATTACACAAACACAACAACGTTAGCTTGAATAGTAAGCTATCTATCCTATATAATCCTATATCTATCCTATATAATCCTATATCTATCCTATATAATCCTATATCTAACCTATATAATCCTATATCTAACCTATATAATCCTATATCTATCCTATCTAATCCTATATCTATCCTATATAATCCTATATCTATCCTATATCTAACCTATATAATCCTATATCTAACCTATATAATCCTATATCTATCCTATATAATCCTATATCTATCCTATATAATCCTATATCTAACCTATATAATCCTATATCTAACCTATATAATCCTATATCTATCCTATATAATCCTATATCTAACCTATATAATCCTATATCTATCCTATATAATCCTATATCTATCCTATATCTAACCTATATAATCCTATATCTAACCTATATAATCCTATATCTAACCCATAAGAGAGAAGTAGTACGGCGAACTAATGTTAGCTAGCAAATTTGCTATTATAGGCTAACGTATTTGGAACAAAATATCAACAATAATTAGGGACTTTCCTAATTTCAGGGAACTTTTCAAAATCTCCTTGACACCAAATGTTACATTACCAATATACATATATAACATACCTTTATCTTGTTGTTTTTTCTCCTCTTCCTTTTTCTTTTTTCTGCCCCTGAAGGTAACGTTAAGTCCTTTTTTGTGACATCTTTCACCTGCTCCTGGGCTCCTGGATGCTCAGTGCGTACTGCACGGTTGGGTGCACTGCACACGTTACTAGCAGAGATCTGACATTTCGAGCAGAGAGGCAGTAGGAAACTCACACATGGAAAAAAATAATGAAATACTTTTTTCTTTCTTTTTCTTCTTAAGTTAATTGCTCTTGGGGGCCCCCTAGTGGTCACGGGGCCCTAAGCAGCTGCTTAGTTTGCTTATGCCTTGGGCCGGCCCTGCTGTTGCATCATCTCTAGTTAAGACTGATCCATTATTACCGTTACATCATCTCTAGTTAATAGACCGATCCACTGTTACCTTTAAATCAGCTCCAGGTAATAGACTGAGCCACTGCTATATATGTTAATGTGTAATGACAGCTGAGTCTGTTTGTGTGTTTCAGGTCAACTCCGGGGACGATCAGCTGTCCTGTCTGTCTGGACTCGTACTCTGAGGTGAGACTCAAACACACCTGTTACACACCTGATACACACCTGTTACTCACCTGTTACTCACCTGTTACACAGTCCTGTAACGTCAGGATCATAATTGATCAACGTCTTCATTTACTACACAAATAGAATCACAGTCAGATCTACTCTAATGATCGACCCCTGATGTTGATTTTATCTGTTGTTGTTGTTGTTGGAGTACGATTACTGTCTGTGATTGGTTAGATTGTCTGCTGTTGCCTGTGAACAGCAGGTAGAATCCTGCTCTCTGATTGGCTGGTTGTGGTTACCTCCACAGATCGTCGAGAGCGGCCGATTGGTTGTTTCCACTAAATGTGGTCACGTGTTCTGCAGCCAGTGTCTGAGAGATGCTCTGACATCATCACACACCTGCCCTACCTGCAGGAAGAGACTGACCCACCGCCAGTACCACCCCCTCTACATCTGACATCACACTGACATCACAGGATGCTTTTGTACTCAGTGATCACTGATTGATTATTGATTAATGTATATTATTGATTATATTGATCTAGTTTGTTTTCTGCAGGTTGTTGTTTGTTTCTGATCGTTTCTGCAGCTGGATTTTATTTTTACTGTGGATGATCAATAAATTCTATTCATTCCTGTGGAACTGTGTTCTTGTTGTTCACTACAACAACAAACAACAACAAACAGCAGAGGGCTCTACTATACAGTGAGCTAACTGTCTTATCCGGCTGAGTTCAGGTGAACTCATTCTACAACAGTTGGATCTTAACTGAGGTATGTTGTCATGGTGATTAAGGAGCAGGTTATCTTGGTTAACGTACCCCTATCAACCTGCTCTGCTCCGCCTGGAAGAATACTATACTGAACACTATTAATATATACATATACAGACTATATATTCAATTCAATTCAGTTTTATTTGTATAGCGCCAATTCATAACAGAAGTTATCTCAGGACACTTTTCAAATAGAGCAGGTCTAGACCAAACTCTTTAAAACATTAATTACAGAGACCCAACAGTACCACCATGAGCAAGACCTTGGAGACAAGGGCAAGGAAACACTGCCTGTTAAAAGGCAGAAACCTAGGACAGATCCTTCGGCTTTAGGTGGGTGGTCGTCTGTCTCGACCAGTTGGGGTGAGAGAGAGAGAGACAGATAGGCAGGTGCACAGCAACAACAGTATTGGCAATGGCAATCTAGCAGGACCATGGCAGGAGGCTCCACCAGGATCGACAAGGACCTGCGAGACGAGAAAGCACAAGAACTCCGGGGAAGAAGTGAAGTTAGTAACATGCATTAATGGGACATGAATGAGTGCAGAAAGAGAGAGGAAGAGAGGAGCTCAGTTCACCATGGGAAATCCCCCGATAGTCTAGGCCTATAGCAGCATAACTAAGGGATGGTTCAGGACTCACCTGATCCAGCCCTAACTATAAGCTTTATCAAAGAGGAATGTCTTAAGCCTACTCTTGAATGTGGAGAGGGTGTCTGCCTCCCGAACCACAACTGGAAGCTGGTTCCACAGGAGAGGAGCTTGGTAACTGAAGGCTCTGGCTCCTGTTCTACTTTTAGAGACTATAGGAACCACAAGTAGCCCAGCATTCAGAGAACGTAGTGTTCTAGAGGGGTAATAGGGTACTATGAGCTCTTTAAGATATGAAGGGGCCTGACCATGAAGAGCTTTATAGGTGAGGAGGAGGATTTTAAATTCTATTCTACATTTTACAGGGAGCCAATGCAGAGAAGCTAGTACAGGAGAGATGTGATCTCTTTTTCTAGTTCCTGTCAGTACTCGTGCTGCAGCGTTCTGAATTAATTGGAGCGTTTTAATGGACTTATTGGGGCAACCTGATAAAGAGTTGCAGTAATCCAGCCTTGAAGTAACAAATGCATGGATTAGTTTTTCTGCATCTGTCTGTGATAGTATGTGTCTAATTTTTCTAATATTACGTAGATGAAAGAAGGCAGTCCTAGAGGTCTGCTTTATGTGGGAGTTAAATGACAAATCCTGATCAAAGATAACTCCAAGATTCCTGACAGTGGTGCTAGAGGCCAAGTTAATGCCATCTAGAATAACTATATCTTTAGACAGTGAGTCTCTAAGGTTTTTGGGGCCAAGTACGAGAATTTCGTTTTTGCTGAGTAACATCAGAAAATTGCAGCTCATCCAGGATTTTATGTCCTTAAGACATGTTTGTAATTTAGATAATTGATTAATTTCATCGGACTTGTGAACAGTGAAAGTTAATGGAGTGATTCCTAATAATGTTGCCTAAAGGGAGCATATATATAGTAAATAGTATTGGTCCAAGTACAGAACCTTGTGGAACTCCATGACTAACTGTAGTATTTATTGAAGATTCATCGTTAACATGTACAAATTGCGAACGATCTGATAAATATGACTTAAACCAGCTTAGTGCGGTTCCTTTAATGCCAATTTGATGCTCAAGTCTCTGTAAAAGAATATTATGGTCAATGGTGTCAAATGCAGCTCTAAGATCTAATAATACAAGTACAGAGACAAGTCCATTGTCAGAAGCAGTCAGAAGGTCATTATTAACTTTAACCAGAGCTGTCTCTGTGCTATGATGAACTCTAAATCCTGACTGAAAATCCTCAAATAAACTATTGTTATGTAGAAAGTCACACAACTCTTTGGCGACTACTTTCTCCAGAATCTTAGAGAGGAAGGGGAGGTTAGAAATCGGTCTATAGTTGGCTAAAACCCCTGGGTCAAGAGTGGGCTTTTTAAGAAGGGGTTTAATTACAGCTACTTTAAAGGACTGTGGTACATATTATGATAATAAAGAAAGATTAATCATATCCAGTAAAGAAGTGCCAATTAAGGGTACGACTTCTTCAAGCAGCCTAGTTGGGATCGGGTCTAACAGACAGGTTGATGGCTTCGATGAAGAAATGATAGCAAGATCGATAGCAGAAAAACAGTCTAAATATATATCTAAGTTTACATTGACAGAAGTCCCTGAACTTGGAGAGCCACTGATAACTGTTGATGGCAGTTGGTGATTAATTTTTTCTCTAATAGTAATAATTTTATTATAGAAGAAGCTCATGAAGTCATTGCTACTTAAGTTTATGGGGATATGTGGCTCAATAGAGCTGTGACTCTCTGTCAGCCTGGCTACAGTGCTGAAGAGGAACCTAGGGTTATTCTTATTTTCTTCTATTAGTGCTGAGTAATAGGCTCCTCTGGCATTATGGAGGGCCTTTCTATAGGTTTTAAGATTATCTTGCCAAATTGAGCGATATTCTGATCATTTGAGCGCCATTTCCTTTCAGATGTCCTAGCTATTTGTTTTAACTGGCGGGTTTGGTGGTTGTACCATGGTGCTAGTCTCCTATGTTTTAATAATTTCCTTTTTATAGGAGCGATAGAGTCTAATGTTGATCGTAGTGAGCCTGTAGCACTATCGACAAGATTATCAATTTCAGAGGGACTAAAGTCGTTATAGGACTCTGTTAAATTCAGACATGGCATTGAATTAAACACTGAAGGAATCTCCTCCTTAAATTTAGCTACAGCACTGTCAGATAGACATCTGCTGTAGGAAGTTTTGCCTAATGGCTTATAATCTAATAGTAGATATACAGATTATATACTGGACACTGTATTAATATATATATATAGACTATATACTGAACACTATATCAATATATATATATTGAGGTGGTGTCCAGCAAACGATGTGGGCTTCATTGATAACTGGAAGCCTTTTTGGGGAAAACCTGGTCTGATTAGGAGAGACGGCATCCATCCCACTTTGGATGGAGCAGCTCTCTTATCTAGAAATATGGCGAAGTTTATTTCTAAAACCTGACAGTCCAGAGTTAGGACCAGGAAGCAGAGCTGCTATCTTACACACTTCTCTGCGTTTTCTTTAGAACAGTCACCCACCCAAAACCCCATAGAGACTGTGTCTGTCCCCCGACCACCTAAACTATTTAAAGAAATAAAAACAAGAGGAGTTCAACATAAAAATCTAATAAAAATTAAAACCAACTCCTCAGTAGCACAAAATAAGAGAATGAAATGTGGGCTGTTAAATATCAGGTCTCTGTCCTCTAAAGCTGTTTTAGTGAATGAATTAATATCAGATTATGATATTGATTTACTTTGTCTTACTGAGACCTGGTTGTCCCACGAGGAGTATGTTAGCCTAAATGAATCCACCCCCCCAGTCATATTAATACTCACATTCCTCGAGGCACTGGCCGAGGAGGTGGAGTAGCAGCTATATATGATTCGAGCGTTTTAATGGACCCTAAACCTAAACTAAATTATAATTCATTTGAAAGCCTTGTTCTTAGTCTTTCTCACCCAAACTGGAAAACACTGCAGCCAGTTCTATTTGTTATAGTGTACCGCGCTCCTGGACCGTACTCTGATTTTATATCTGAATTTTCAGAGTTTCTATCAAGCTTAGTCCTTAAATCAGATAAAGTAATTATTGTAGGTGATTTTAATATTCATGTGGATGTTGACAATGACAGCCTTAGTAATGCATTTATATCATTAATTCAATTCAATTTTATTTGTATAGCGCCAATTCATAACAGAAGTTATCTCAGGACACTTTTCAAATAGAGCAGGTCTAGACCGAACTCTTTAACATTAATTACAGAGACCCAACAGTACCACCATGAGCAAGCACTTGGCGACAAGGGCAAGGAAAAACTGCCTGTTAAAAGGCAGAAACCTAGGACAGATCCTCCGGCTCTAGGTGGGTGGTCGTCTGTCTCGACCAGTTGGGGTGAGAGAGAGAGAGAGAGAGAGAGAGAGAGAGAGAGAGAGAGAGAGAGAGAGAGAGAGAGAGAGAGCGAGCGACAGACAGACAGACAGGTGCACAGCAACAACAGTATTGGCAATGGTAGTCAAGCAGGACCATGGCAGGAGGCTCCACCAGGATCCACGAGAACCTGCGAGACGAGAAAGCACAAGAACTCCGGGGAAGAAGTGGAGTTAGTAACATGCATTAAAGGGACATGAATGAGTGCAGAAAGAGAGAGGAAGAGAGTAGCTCAGTGCACCATGGGAAATCCCCGATAGTCTAGGCCTATAGCAGCATAACTAAGGGATGGTTCAGGACTCACCTGATCCAGCCCTAACTATAAGCTTTATCAAAGAGGAATGTCTTAAGCCTACTCTTGAATGTGGTGAGGGTGTCTGCCTCCCGAACCACAACTGGAAGCTGGTTCCACAGGAGAGGAGCTTGGTAACTGAAGGCTCTGGCTCCTGTTCTACTTTTAGAGACTATAGGAACCACAAGTAGCCCAGCATTCAGAGAACGTAGTGTTCTAGTGGGGTAATAGGGTACTATGAGCTCTTTAAGATATGAAGGGGCCTGACCATGAAGAGCTTTATAGGTGAGGAGGAGTATTTTAAATTCAATTCTACATTTTATAGGGAGCCAATGCAGAGTAGCTAGTACAGGAGAGATGTGATCTCTTTTTCTAGTTCCTGTCAGTACTCGTGCTGCAGCGTTCTGAATTAATTGGAGCGTTTTAATGGACTTATTGGGGCAACCTGATAATAAAGAGTTGCAGTAATCCAGCCTTGAAGTAACAAATGCATGGATTAGTTTTTCTGCATCTGTCTGTGATAGTATGTGTCTAATTTTTCTAATATTACGTAAATGAAAGAAGGCAGTCCTAGAGGCCTGCTTTATGTGGGAGTTAAATGACAAATCCTGATCAAAGATAACTCCAAGATTCCTGACAGTGGTGCTAGAGGCCAAGTTAATGCCATCTAGAGTGACTATATCTTTAGACAATGAGTCTCTAAGGTTTTTGGGGCCAAGAACAAGAATTTCGGTTTTTTCTGAGTTTAACATCAGAAAATTGCAGGTCATCCAGGATTTTATGTCCTTAAGACATGTTTGTAATTTAGATAATTGATTAATTTCATTGGGTTTGATTGATAGATATAACTGCGTATCATCTGCATAACAGTGAAAGTTAATGGAGTGATTCCTAATAATGTTGCCTAAAGGGAGCATATATAAAGTAAATAGTATTGGTCCAAGTACAGAACCTTGTGGAACTCCATGACTAACTTTAGTATTTATGGAGGATTCATCGTTAACATGTACAAACTGAGAACGATCTGATAAGTATGACTTAAACCAGGTTAGGGCAGTTCCTTTAATGCCAATTTGATGCTCAAGTCTCTGTAAAAGAATATCATGGTCAATGGTGTCAAATGCAGCACTAAGATCTAATAATACAAGTACAGAGACAAGTCCATTGTCAGAAGCAGTCAGAAGGTCATTATTAACTTTAACCAGAGCTGTCTCTGTGCTATGATGAACTCTAAATCCTGACTGAAAATCCTCAAATAAACTATTGTTATGTAGAAAGTCACACAACTCTTTGGCGACTACTTTCTCCAGAATCTTAGAGAGGAACGGGAGGTTAGAAATCGGTCTATAGTTGGCTAAAACCCCTGGGTCAAGAGTAGACTTTTTAAGAAGGGGTTTAATTGCAGCTACTTTAAAGGACTGTGGTACATATCCTGATAATAAAGAAAGATTAATCATATCCAGTAAAGAAGTGCCAATTAAGGGAACAACTTCTTTAAGCAGCCTAGTTGGGATCGGGTCTAACAGACAGGTTGATGGCTTCGATGAAGAAATGATTGAAGTTAACTGATGAAGATCGATAGCAGAAAAACAGTCTAAATATACATCTAAGTTTACATTGACAGAAGTCCCTGAACTTGGAGAGCCACTGATAACTGTTGATGGCAGTTGGTGATTAATTTTTTCTCTAATAGTAATAATTTTATTATAGAAGAAGCTCATGAAGTCATTGCTACTTAAGTTTATGGGGATATGTGGCTCGATAGAGCTGTGACTCTCTGTCAGCCTGGCTACAGTGCTGAAGAGGAACCTAGGGTTATTCTTATTTTCTTCTATTAGTGCTGAGTAATAGGCTCCTCTGGCATTACGGAGGGCCTTTCTATAAATCTTAAGATCATCTTGCCAATTTGAGCGATATTCTGATAATTTGGAAGAGCGCCATTTCCTTTCAGATTTCCTAGCTATTTGTTTTAATTGGCGGGTTTGGTGGTTATACCAAGGTGCTAGTCTCCTATGTTTTAATAATTTCCTTTTTATAGGAGCGATAGAGTCTAATGTTGATCGTAGTGAGCCTGTAGCACTATCGACAAGATTATCAATTTCAGAGGGACTAAAGTTGTTATAGGACTCTGTTAAATTCAGACATGGCATTGAATTAAACACTGAAGGAATCTCCTCCTTAAATTTAGCTACAGCACTGTCAGATAGACATCTGCTGTAGGAAGTTTTGCCTAATGGCTTATAATCTAATAGTATGAATTCAAAAGTTACTAAATAATGGTCAGATAGGAAAGGATTATGTGGGAAGACTATTAAATGTTCAATATCAATGCCATATGATAAAACAAGGTCAAGAGTGTGATTAAAACAATGAGTTGGTTTATTTACACTCTGACAGAAGCCAATTGAGTCTATTAATGAGGGAACCCTCGGTAGTAGCAAGGTGATTGATTGGACGTGCTACGGTAAGCGTACTGACTCACTTCCGGTTTACTTCCTGCTCTGTGTACACTGTTTGGTGCTGTAGCTCTGTCAGTGAACGCTAAATATAAATTAGTTTTACTCGTTACAGCGGTTATTTACCCGCTTAACATTTAAACGTAGACTAGTTCTACTTAAACACTTGGAGTTTCTCCCTCTTTTAGTGACTTTTCACTACTTTCAAAGTTTTTCATACACTCTAGTTTCATTAGCATTAGCAGTTAGCTATGGCTTCTCCCTCTCCCTCTCCTCTGTCCTGCTCAGTGTGTCAGATGTTCAGTTATTCCTCTGCCTCCTTTAAAGATAATGGTACCTGTATTAAATGTAGTTTATTTACTGCGCTGGAGGCGAGGCTTAGTGAGTTAGAGGAACGGTACCGCACCACTGAGATATCTTTAGCCACTATAGTTAGCCAGCCCCCAGTAGCCGGTGCGGTCCGACCGAAGGTAGCTTCTGTTAGCTCTGTAGATCCCCCGGTAGTTTCTCCGGTAGTTCCCCCGGTAGTTCCTCCGGTAGTTCCCCCGGTAGTTCCCGAGCAGCCGGGAAGACAGGGAGGCTGGGTGACTGAGCGAAGGAAGACTAGAACGGCGAAGCCCACAGGTCATTACCAACCCATTCACGTTTCTAATACATTTTCCCCACTCAGCGATACACCCGCTGAGGAGCCAACTCTGGTTATTGGCAGCTCCATAGTCAGAAACGTGAAGTTAGCGAAGCCAGCGGCCATAGTTAAATGCATCCCTGGGGCCAGAGCGGGCGACATTGAATCAAATTTAAAACTGCTGGCTAAAGGTAAACGTAAATACAGTAAGATTGTTATCCACGTCGGCGGTAATGACACCCGTTTACACCAATCGGAGGTCACTAAGATTAATGTGGAGTCGGTGTGTAACTATGCTAAGACAATGTCGGACACCGTAGTTTTCTCTGGACCCCTCCCCAATGTGACCAGTGATGACATGTATAGCTGCATGTCGTCATTCCACCGCTGGCTGTCGAGGTGGTGTCCAGCAAACGATGTGGGCTTCATTGATAACTGGAAGCCTTTTTGGGGAAAACCTGGTCTGATTAGGAGAGACGGCATCCATCCCACTTTGGATGGAGCGGCTCTCTTATCTAGAAATATGGCGAAGTTTATCTCTAAAACCTGACAGTCCAGAGTTAGGACCAGGAAGCAGAGCTGCTGTCTTACACACTTCTCTGCGCTTTCTTTAGAACAGTCACCCACCCAAAACCCCATAGAGACTGTGTCTGTCCCCCGACCACCTAAACTATTTAAAGAAATAAAAACAAGAGGAGTTCAACATAAAAATCTAATAAAAATTAAAACCAACTCCTCAGTAGCACAAAATAAGAGAATGAAATGTGGGCTGTTAAATATCAGGTCTCTGTCCTCTAAAGCTGTTTTAGTGAATGAATTAATATCAGATTATGATATTGATTTACTTTGTCTTACTGAGACCTGGTTGTCCCACGAGGAGTATGTTAGCCTAAATGAATCCACCCCCCCAGTCATATTAATACTCACATTCCTCGAGGCACAGGCCGAGGAGGTGGAGTAGCAGCCATATATGATTCGAGCGTTTTAATGGACCCTAAACCTAAACTAAATTATAATTCATTTGAAAGCCTTGTTCTTAGTCTTTCTCACCCAAACTGGAAAACACTGCAGCCAGTTCTATTTGTTATAGTGTACCGCGCTCCTGGACCGTACTCTGATTTTATATCTGAATTTTCAGAGTTTCTATCAAGCTTAGTCCTTAAATCAGATAAAGTAATTATTGTAGGTGATTTTAATATTCATGTGGATGTTGACAATGACAGCCTTAGTAATGCATTTATATCATTAATAGACTCAATTGGCTTCTGTCAGAGTGTAAATAAACCAACTCATTGTTTTAATCACACTCTTGACCTTGTTTTATCATATGGCATTGATATTGAACATTTAATAGTCTTCCCACATAATCCTTTCCTATCTGACCATTATTTAGTAACTTTTGAATTCATACTATTAGATTATAAGCCATTAGGCAAAACTTCCTACAGCAGATGTCTATCTGACAGTGCTGTAGCTAAATTTAAGGAGGAGATTCCTTCAGTGTTTAATTCAATGCCATGTCTGAATTTAACAGAGTCCTATAACAACTTTAGTCCCTCTGAAATTGATAATCTTGTCGATAGTGCTACAGGCTCACTACGATCAACATTAGACTCTATCGCTCCTATAAAAAGGAAATTATTAAAACATAGGAGACTAGCACCTTGGTATAACCACCAAACCCGCCAGTTAAAGCAAATAGCTAGGAAATCTGAAAGGAAATGGCGCTCTTCCAAATTATCAGAATATCGCTCAAATTGGCAAGATGATCTTAAGATTTATAGAAAGGCCCTCCGTAATGCCAGAGGAGCCTATTACTCAGCACTAATTGAAGAAAATAAGAACAACCCTAGGTTCCTCTTCAGCACTGTAGCCAGGCTGACAGAGAGTCACAGCTCTATCGAGCCACATATCCCCATAAACTTAAGTAGCAATGACTTCATGAGCTTCTTCTATAATAAAATTATTACTATTAGAGAAAAAAATTAATCACCAACTGCCATCAACGGTTATCAGTGGCTCTCCAAGTTCAGGGACTTCTGTCAATGTAAACTTAGATGTATATTTAGACTGTTTTTCTGCTATCGATCTTCATCAGTTAACTTCAATCATTTCTTCATCGAAGCCATCAACCTGTCTGTTAGACCCGATCCCAACTAGGCTGCTTAAAGAAGTTGTTCCCTTAATTGGCACTTCTTTACTGGATATGATTAATCTTTCTTTATTATCAGGATATGTACCACAGTCCTTTAAAGTAGCTGTAATTAAACCCCTTCTTAAAAAGTCTACTCTTGACCCAGGGGTTTTAGCCAACTATAGACCAATTTCTAACCTCCCCTTCCTCTCTAAGATTCTGGAGAAAGTAGTCGCCAAAGAGTTGTGTGACTTTCTACATAACAATAGTTTATTTGAGGATTTTCAGTCAGGATTTAGAGTTCATCATAGCACAGAGACAGCTCTGGTTAAAGTTAATAATGACCTTCTGACTGCTTCTGACAATGGACTTGTCTCTGTACTTGTATTATTAGATCTTAGTGCTGCATTTGACACCATTGACCATGATATTCTTTTACAGAGACTTGAGCATCAAATTGGCATTAAAGGAACTGCCCTAACCTGGTTTAAGTCATACTTATCAGATCGTTCTCAGTTTGTACATGTTAACGATGAATCCTCCATAAATACTAAAGTTAGTCATGGAGTTCCACAAGGTTCTGTACTTGGACCAATACTATTTACTTTATATATGCTCCCTTTAGGCAACATTATTAGGAATCACTCCATTAACTTTCACTGTTATGCAGATGATACGCAGTTATATCTATCAATCAAACCCAATGAAATTAATCAATTATCTAAATTACAAACATGTCTTAAGGACATAAAATCCTGGATGACCTGCAATTTTCTGATGTTAAACTCAGAAAAAACCGAAATTCTTGTTCTTGGCCCCAAAAACCTTAGAGACTCATTGTCTAAAGATATAGTCACTCTAGATGGCATTAACTTGGCCTCTAGCACCACTGTCAGGAATCTTGGAGTTATCTTTGATCAGGATTTGTCATTTAACTCCCACATAAAGCAGACCTCTAGGACTGCCTTCTTTCATTACGTAATATTAGAAAAATTAGACACATCCTATCACAGACAGATGCAGAAAAACTAATCCATGCATTTGTTACTTCAAGGCTGGATTACTGCAACTCTTTATTATCAGGTTGCCCCAATAAGTCCATTAAAACGCTCCAATTAATTCAGAACGCTGCAGCACGAGTACTGACAGGAACTAGAAAAAGAGATCACATCTCTCCTGTACTAGCTACTCTGCATTGGCTCCCTGTAAAATGTAGAATTGAATTTAAAATACTCCTCCTCACCTATAAAGCTCTTCATGGTCAGGCCCCTTCATATCTTAAAGAGCTCATAGTACCCTATTACCCCACTAGAACACTACGTTCTCTGAATGCTGGGCTACTTGTGGTTCCTATAGTCTCTAAAAGTAGAACAGGAGCCAGAGCCTTCAGTTACCAAGCTCCTCTCCTGTGGAACCTGCTTCCATTTGTGGTTCGGGAGGCAGACACCCTCACCACATTCAAGAGTAGGCTTAAGACATTCCTCTTTGATAAAGCTTATAGTTAGGGCTGGATCAGGTGAGTCCTGAACCATCCCTTAGTTATGCTGCTATAGGCCTAGACTATCGGGGGATTTCCCATGTTGCACTGAGCTACTCTCTTCCTCTCTCTTTCTGCACTCATTCATGTCCCTTTAATGCATGTTACTAACTCCACTTCTTCCCCGGAGTTCTTGTGCTTTCTCGTCTTGCAGGTTCTCATGGATCCTGGTGGAGCCTCCTGCCATGGTCCTGCTTGACTGCCATTGCCAATACTGTTGTTGCTGTGCACCTGTCTGTCTGTCTGTCGCTCTCTCTCTCTCTCTCTCTCTCTCTCTCTCTCTCTCTCACCCCAACTGGTCGAGACAGACGACCACCCACCTAGAGCCGGAGGATCTGTCCTAGGTTTCTGCCTTTTAACAGGCAGTTTTTCCTTGCCCTTGTCGCCAAGTGCTTGCTCATGGTGGTACTGTTGGGTCTCTGTAATTAATGTTAAAGAGTTCGGTCTAGACCTGCTCTATTTGAAAAGTGTCCTGAGATAACTTCTGTTATGAATTGGCGCTATACAAATAAAATTGA